AGGGCGGTCTTGGAGGCTTCTGGGACCAGAGGTCTGAAACCGCTAAAACTGCATGCTTTTCACCCTGGAAGCCTTCTCGGCAATCCTCTAAGGGCCTTCCCAGAGCGGCGTGGGGGCTTCTGGATCCGCCTCGAGGCAACGTTGGGCTGTCAGGGCGCCTGGGAGCATTTTGGCGACGTCTTAGGGTTGGCTGGCAGTATCCGCGTCTGTGGCGCCCACATGTGGGCTCTCGTGGAGGCGTCGCGTAGGCCTTGTGGAGCTCTACTGCGCCGTCTTGGGCCTTACTGAGCGGTCTCGGGTTCCCTTCTCGGAGGGTCGCAGGGGCTTCTGGGGCCATGCTGAAGCACTCTGGGACCGTCTGAAATTTGCTGCAAGGGGGTCATCTTCAGACGCATGGAAGCTCTCGGAGCCCTCGATCAGACCAGGGGCGCCCATGCCAACTGGCGGCAGCTATCCAGACCCCTCACCCGACAACACCCACGCTCGGAGGATAATGATAACGAAGAGGAAGAGCGGGGGAGTCAGAGGAAAATGAACAGGTGGTGGGACGGCTGCCCCTCCCAACACCGCTGGGGGGCGTTCGGGCTTGAGAACCGCTGAATGTGTCTGGCCGTGCCACGAGGGTGCCTTGGACCGTCTCGGAGCCCAAAATTCCCCACATGCAGTCGAGGTCCTGGTCCCGGAGGGGCACAAGGCGTCTCGGAGGTCTCTTCGGGCACCCTCTTGGAAGCCTCTTGGGCCGCCTTGGAGCGATCTTTGGGGCCTCTAGGGCCGTCTTGGAGCGTCGGGCAGACGAACAGGCGAGAAAAGCCCACAGCCTTCAAAAACCTAAGATAAATCAATGTCGTTTGGCCTCTGGGGGCCCTCTTGGGAGGCCTCTTGGGGCGTCTTGGAAGCCTCTTGGGCTGTCTGGGGGCCGTCGAGGGCCCCAGGGAACCCCTGGGAGACCCGCAGGGAATTCGAACCCCTGGGGGGCCCGGCGTGACAGGCCGAGGTCGCCACCGGCACACCCGATCAGTCCGAACCCCCAGGCAGAGCCCAGCTGTGGAATCGAGGCTGACGCAGTGCAAAGCCAGAGCCGAGGCCTCCCTCCGGGCCACTCCGCTGGGGAGAGGAGGACGACGAGGACGCGGCGCTACCTCACGAGAGCCAACCTCTTATACAGTCGGGGCTGAACGAAGAGGACGCGCGAGAGGAGACAAGACCCCTCCGAGGGTCACGTTGCCATAGCAAGGGCTCCCAACTTCGCGCTTCGCGCTGCGCGAAGAGCGAAGTGAGAATAACTTCGCGCTCTCGCGCCGCCTCCCAGGAGAGAAGAGGAGAATGAGGAAAAATCGGAGGAGCCAAACCGCGAAGCGCGAAGCGCGAATAACTTCGCGCCCTCGAGGGCGCCCTTGACTACAGTCGGCCCCGATTAGAAGGTCGACCCTGCCAAATCAAGGCTATCCCTGATTTGCAGGGTGGACCTGCTAATCGGCCTCGACTGTCCGCCTCCTGCCCGCTCCTCCGGCACTGAAATGTGATTCGTGACGTCGGCCCCCTGGGCTTCAACCACTTGCCCAGGGCAGGCTGTTCGTCCTCAGTCGTTTACTCACGGCCCCAGGGCCGAGAAAAATCCTGCAGAGGCAAAAATCAGAAACGAAACTTGACAGCCAACAGGGCAAGACAAGTTTTTTAAAAAACTCCTGTAACGAAACAATGTAGCAACAGGAAACGTATATGAAACAGTAAGCATAAGCACACACACACAACAAAAAAAAACTCAAGGGGAAAAAACATGCCTCCAGAGCTGTCTTGCCTCAAGAGCCATCGCGGGTCGAGCTAGCATTGGCTCAAGCTCGCTCGCGATGTCCCCTGGGCTGCGCCATACGTGCGCTTGCTTGAGGGCCCCTTGGACATGAGCTTCAAGGTGGTGAACGCTGGGGTTGCTGCGGGGTTCGTGCAGTTTGTCCTGGTCCTCGGCGGCGCCACCTCTGGCTGTGCCTGGCCCAGGCCCGAGTGGCAAGCAAGGCACCCCTCGTCTTGTTAATTTGGCGCTGCTCGTTCCACTTTTATGTTCGTTCATCTTTACAGTTGTGTTGGATGTCTACGTATACCATTTCTTACAGCTTCGAGGTGCCATCTGTCTTGTTCTCGCCTCCAGCGAATATGTTACAGCGTTGGGCACGCGGGTACTGTGGGTCGTTGATGCAAGTCTGGCTTCTTATCCGCATCGGTTTGCTGGGTGTGGCGGTTCGGCATTCATCTTTTTCAATTATGGTGCTTCTCGGTCATGTAAGCTGCTTTTCTGCTGTTACTGTATGATCAATCGTCTGTTCGGCGCTGTCGTGGCGGGGATTCTTTTCAATTTCACTGGGGTACCTCCGTGTTCGTGATGCTCATGGTGGGCCCCGTGGTGCATGTATACAAGTGGCACGTGTGTGCCCAGGCTCATACAACAAACTGGAGGGGCGTTTGAAGCAGGAGTGAAATGCAACATCGAAGTCGCACTCGAGCGCAAGTGGGGTTGCCACACCTTGCGATGTGTGTACCAGGGCCCCCAGGAAGCCTTAGGAGGCCCGACTTGGCTACCAGAAGAGGCTCCAGGAGGCCCCAGGATTGTTAGTGTTGTGCGTGTGTGCATGTGTGTATGTGTATGTGTGTATGTGTGTGTGTGTGCGTGTGTGCGTGTGTGCGTGTGTGCGTGTGTGCGTGTGTGCGTGTGTGCGTGTGTGCGTGTGTACGGTCCCAGAGTGCTTCAGCATGGCCCCAGAAGCCCCTGCGACCCTCCGAGAAGGGAACCCGAGACCGCTCAGTAAGGCCCACGAAGTTGCCCACCCTGCCGAGGGGAGTACACAATACATCTTTGAACTGTGATGCAGTCTCTCCCCGAGAGCCCCCCCTCCCTCCCCTGGAGAAGCAGCCAGACAACTCGGAATGCGAGGTCACACTGTTGCGCCACAGAGCGCGCTCCGGCACCACCACCCCCAAATTTCCCCATGGCTGCCGACACGGGAGAAGTCGGCGGCGGACGCGGCCCACAGCTCAGGAACTTCCAGCGCCGCGGCTCCAGAGGTCCAGCATAAGCCAAACGGACGGACGAACGGACGGCCATGCAGCGCTCCACCTTTCTCCTTCCGCCCTCCTCCTCCTCCCCTTCTCCCGGCTCCTTCCTCTCTCTCTTCCCTCTCCCCCTTCCCTCATCCTCCCTGCTCCCTGCTCCCTCCTCCTCCCTCCCTCCCTCCCTCCTCATCCTCTTCCTTCTCCTCCTCCGCGTCCTCCGCGTCCTCCTCCTCCCTCCTCCCTCCCTCCCTCATCCTCTTCCTCCCTCCTCTCTCCCTCCCTCCTCCGCGTCCTCCTCCTCCTCCTCCTCCGCCTCCCCCTCGCACCCTCCTTCATCCCCCCTCTCTCCCTTCATCACTCCTGCCCCCCCCTGCGCCCTCCTTCCTCCCGCCTCCCTCTTCCCCCGACCCTCCCTCCCCCCAGTCCTCGTCCCACCCCCCTCTCCTGGCGCCCCCCCCCGCCGCCCCAGAAAGGCCCCCCCCCGGGGGGCGCGGCGCCGGCGGGAGCAGCATGGCGGGCGGCCTGACGGCGGCCGAGAACATGGAAAGCCGACACCACCACAACCAGGGAGCACTCGTGGGAGGAGCCAGGGATGGGTCCCCCGGGTGGTGTGGTCCCCCCTCTCGCTCGAGACGTCCCCTATCTCCAGCTCGGAGAGGCATCGTGGGCCTCCTCGCCGGAGGTGGCCCCCTGGCCGTGCTGGTGTCGCTTCCCCCAGCAAGTGGACGAGCGACAACTGACGTCGAGAGGGAACGCACTGCTGCTGCAGGTCGGCGACGCCTGCAGCCCAGACCTGCTTCGGACGCCCGCTCGGGCGGGGGACTCCCCCTGCGGGCGATCCGAGCGAGGCAGGAGGCCATGCGAGCGCTGCCACGGGGGCAGTCGGTGGAGCTCCCTATGGGGCCACGGTCCTCGTGAGGATTGTGCCAAGATGGCCCGAGGCCGCCATGCGAGCGCTGCCACTGGGGCCTTCGGTGGAGCGCCCTGTGGGGCCACGGTCCTCGTGAGGGGCGTGCCGAGATGGCCCGAGGCCGCCATGCGAGCGCTGCCACTGGGTTCGTCGGTGGAGCTCCCTATGGGGCCACGGTCCTGGTGAGGGGCGTGCCGAGATGGCCCGAGGCCGCCATGCGAACCCTGCCACTGGGGCAGTCGGTGGAGCTCCCTATGGGGCCACGGTCCTCGTGAGGGGCGTGCCGAGATGGCCCGAGGCCGCCATGCGAACCCTGCCACTGGGGCCTTCGGTGGAGCTCCCTATGGGGCCACGGTCCTCGCGAGGGGCGTGCCGAGATGGCCCGAGGCCGCCATGCGAACCCTGCCACTGGGGCCTTCGGTGGAGCTCCATATGGGGCCACGGTCCTCGTGAGGGGCGTGTTGAAATGGTTGGCATGCGAAGGACAGAGGCAAGGATGGGAAGAGGAAGAGGGGGAGGAGGAGTGAGGAGGAGAAGATGAGAACACGGTAGCAGAAGGGCAACGATGCGACTGCGGGTAAGGAGAAGGGTGAAAACGAGGCTGATCAATGACAGTGAGACTAAGATCGACGAACAGGGTGGTGATAAGTGGGAGAGATAATACGAGGGGTACATATATAGAGAGAGAGGGGAAGGGAGAGGGAGATAAAGACCGAGGTGAGGAGATAGAGACCGAGAGAGAGAGAGAGGGAGAGAAAGACAGAAAGAGAGAGAGAGAGAGATGACAACAAAGGAGAGAGAGAGAGAACAAACAATAAGAAATGTAGAGAAAGAGAACGGAGACCTTGGCAGGATGTGGACATGGCTGTGTTCGGCCCCGCCCTGGAGTCCGAATAAATCCACATCCGCCGCTTGGCGAGGTCCCCGAAGGTCGATATCCAGGGCGGCGGTTCTGGATAATGAGCCCCAGCCTCAGAGGTGGCGGCGGCGACGGCGGCCACGACGACAACCGCGCCGACGACGGCGGCGGCGGCGGCTCTGGCGGCACTGAGCGCGGAGCCACGGCCTGACCCTCGCCGGCACGAGCTGCCCCGCGGTGGCCTCGCCGCGAGAGGGCCGACGGCCGCGGCGTCGACGTCGACCTCGACGCCGACGAACGACCACGACATCGACGTCGACGGCCACGACGTCGACCACGGCGACGGCCGACGACGGCGGCTGACGTGGCGGCGACGGCTGCAGCGGCGTCGGCGGCGATCACAGCGGCGGCGACGACACCGACGCCGACGACGGAGGCTTCGGCGAAGACGGCGACGGTGGCGGCTGCCGCGTCCGCCGCCGACGAGCCATGGCATCGGCCAGGACGTCTGCGGCGACCACGGCAGTGGCCTTCATGGCAGCCGCGGAGGCCTGAAGGATGTGCCTCGACCAGCACCCCACACCGGCCCCACGCGCCCGACCTTCCCAGGGCGGCGCCCCCGAGGAAAAAGAAGGAGAGAGGGGGGGAGCCTCGGGGACGCCTCGGAGCACTAGGGCAAGCACGACAGGGAGCACGAAAAGCCTCAGGCTTGCCTTCGGAACGGCCTATCGCCACCATCTGGCGCTGATGAAGAGGAAGACGGGGGGATAAGCAAAAGGGCGAAGTAACCAATCTCATCATCCCCCCCCCGACAAGCGAAGTCGTCTCCAAGCGCACCTACGGAAGGAGCCTGACAAGGCGGGTTTGCTCAGTGTTCGCCCAAGATTGGACAACCAACGCCAACCAAGATTGGGGATCAGAATGCTGTGACCGGCCTTGCACAAGGGAAAACCCTAACCCACAAACCGCGTGTCCGCTTCCCCGACAGGTGTGGGCACCTCTCGGCCCTTCCACGAATGCGGGGATCGAGAGGGCCTCGCGAGGGCAGGGCGCGAGATCCGAACCTGCAGGAGCGAAGAGAGGGGGCGAGACAGAGCAAGACGCACTTTGCCCGAACACAAGAACAGGATATCGGAGCGAATTCCTGACGGCGCCTCCATTGCTGCCCCTGGCGCGCCCCGCGCGTCAGGGAAGGCCCCGCCGCAGATCCACGAAATTCGCGCGGAGAAGGGAGAGGAAAAGGAGGAGGAGGAGGAGGAGGAGGAGGAGGAGGAGGAGGAGGACGGCGAGCGAGCGAGCGAGCGAGCGGGCGGGCAGCCGAGATGCAGTTGGAGGGCACGCGGCGCGGGCGAGGGGCCCCCGTCTGCCCCAAACGGGGCGGCAAGCGGGGCCAGGGAGCACGGAGGCTGCGGCAGGCCCGTGCTCACCAGCACGAAACCTACGACGCGGAGGATTGCATCGAAGGCCTCCGGCGCCGGCAGCACGTCACTGTCGCACGCAATGTCCACTGTCGCAGGGGCGTCACCGACGTAGGCGTGGCAACAGGAACACGGCACGTCATCGACCCTCACGCCGCATATCGGCGGCGGGCGAAGGGGGGAAATGAGAAGGAGAAGGCCTTCTCAGAAGGCTCGGGAGTCCTCCGGCCTTCTGAGAAGTGTTCTAAAGTTGTCTAACTCTTCTCCGAAGACAGAAAACACTTTTCAGGAGGCACGAGGGCGTTTGAAAAGTCCCGCCGCCTTCTGAAAGAAGGCTGTTGTTTCCCATTTCCCCCTCTCGCTCGTCGCCGACAATGCAGCTTCGAGCCGCGCCGAGCAAAACAGACTGGGCGCGCCCAACACGCAGGCACCCAGGAACCAGCTGAGCTGCAATCCCGAGGGCCCAAGAAGGACAGCACCTGCCTTGGCCACAGAACCTGTCCTCGACAGGATTCTGAAACCGAACGAGCTGGAACCCCAGGTAGACCACCATAACAGCTTCTGTCCTGGGCCCACCCCCAATCTGTCGAAATGAGTGCGCATCATCGCTGGCGACATCTGAACGTTCTTCAAGGTCTGGCTGGCCAAAATCCAGCACCTGGCCATGCGCAATCCCTTATCATTGTAAGATTCTGGGCATATCGAGGCACTTGGCCTCGACATCAAGAGAGGGCCGCTGACTGTGAACTGGAGCCGTCACCGCCGTCTCCACCCAAGGATCCGTCCATCGCTTCGTCTTGCGCGTGAGTTTCCTCGTTGCACAACATGGCCGCAATCGGACGGCGAGCGCCTCGAGCAATACTTCTGGCGCGCGATCGATCTAGCACAGATGGGTGCCGTCCCGCTCTAGCGCAATCTCGGACATGAGAGTTCGCGGCGCAGACCTGACGCGCTTCGCCTCGATCATGAAGCCGCGCGGACTCTTCGACGTGCCAGGTGGGAGGGCGAGATTCACAGTCGCGCTCAAAGGCGCGCCACAAGCTCACCCATTCACCCAGCATCGCCTAGAAAGCGCCATGGTCAACAAAAGGGAGGCCGCTTGAATCCTGGCCCCGAGGTGCCACGCCTCGAGGCCCCTTGGAAAAACAGCGTGCTGAACCAATGCCATTTTGAAACGCAAGCTCCGGCAAATCCGCCCAACTGGCTCTGGCGGCGGCTGCGTCTGCAGCAGCGTGCGTCAGCGCCTTATCCTGGACAAACTTGCAGCCGGCTCCTCTGCGAGGATATTTGGGGAGCTGCTTCAAAGACTGTTCACGACCGCATGCCGCGGAACCGACCGAGCGCGACCCCCCCCCCCCGGCCCCGCCGCCTCCGACGTCCCAAGCATCCCCCAACTCCCTGAGCCGACGCTCGGCGCTGGCCCTCGACTGCTGTTCGGCGGGGATGGTGGAGCCTGGCGCTCGGAGCCATTGCATCGCGAGACGCCTGACGCTTAACCATTGTTTGGTAAGGTGGCCTCGCGGACGCAGGCCTCCAGGGGACCCCTTCAGAGGAGCCCCGGGGGCCAGATAGCACCGATGTCCCCGGTCCCCCAGCTCTCGAACACCTCGGCGGCGACGGCGACGAGGAGGAGGAGGAGCGAGAGGAGGGAGAGGAGGAGGAGGAGGAGGAGGAGGAGGAGGAGGAGGAGGAGGCGACGACGACGACGGCGCAGGGCCTGAGCCGTCCACGGATGCTCGCCGAAGCGGCTCTGCCCCGCCTCGGCCTGCGCCTGCCGGCGGCGCTCCCCGCGGGCGCCGCCGAACATCTCCCCGGGGCCAGGCGCCTGCAGGCCGCCGACGCCGCGGGGCGCCGTCGGGCCCGCGCCGTCGCCGTCGCCGCGGCCCCCGCCGCCGCCGTCGCCGTCGCCGTCGCCGTCGTCGTCGTCGTCGTCGGCGTCGGCGTCGTCGGCGTCGGCGTCGTCGGCTTCGTCTTCGGCGTCGGCGTCGGCGTCCTCCCTCGGGGTCGTCGTCGTCGTCGTCGTCGTCGTCGTCGTCGTCGTCGTCGTCGTCGTCGGCGTCGTGGCAAAGGTCGGCGTCGCTTCCGCCGCTGGTGGCAGCCGCAGCCGCCGCGGGTCGCACTCGCCACCGCTCCGCGCAGGGCGCTCCCTGCGGCAGCGAGCGGCGCGACCGCGGCCAATAAACCCCTGCCCTCACTTCTGAAGGGAGGGCAGGGGTTTGTTGAATCTTGTCGAAATGAGACGTTCGCCTTAGCGCGTAGCGCCACACAGTCGTCATACATACTCGAATGGCTGAAATCCCCAAAACGGTGCTCTGGCACGGTTTAGAACTGTAAGGACGCAACTGCGAAGATGTTTCGCAGCGAAGTCCCAGGAATGTTTTCTGCCACGACTTAGGATTGCCAGGGCGCAGCAGTCACGTTGATCCCTGAAGAGAAAGGACCCAGAAATCCGGCGAACGTCTTTTCCCGCCGACCACCTGCCCGGATCCAGCTCTTCCTCGTGGGCCGCTCTTCGACGGCCCCGAGGCCCGGTATACTCCGTCGCAACTTTTGTCGGGGCGCGCGTCTCGGCTACACGCGCGACCCTTGGTGACCCCAGGCAAGGGTGACCCTTGGCGCGCGACTTTCGGGGGCCGCGGGAAGGCCAAACCCGAGCGCGCCGGCCGCTGCTATCGCATCGCGTTCGGCCATCTGGGGGCCCCGCTGTGCCCGCACCAGAGGTCATTCTGGCGACTGGACGACACAACCCGAGAAAGGTGCCCAAGGTGCCTGCATGAATTCACATGCAGTCGGACCTCGCAACTCGAATGGTAGCATAGACACGCGCCAGGCGTCTCATCTGCGCCGCCGATGCGAGGCGCCTCGAGATGCCACCGCGAGACACTTTGGGTGACCCAAAAGGGGGTCTAGCTGAAAGGAGGTGGTGCAATGGATTTGGGCAATTGCATTGCAAACGTAGCGCCGGAGACTTGTATTGCATTGTATTGCAAGTAATGTATTGCACGCGGCATTCCAGCACTACATTTGCGCCCTGGAATGTACTGCACGCCCCAAATATATTCCAACCCTACATATCTATTGCCCCTATCAGCTGGACCCCCCCCTTTTGGGTCAACCCGAGACATGGCCACCCTCACCACCCCCCATTGGCCGCCCGCCACAAGCAGCGGAGAACCCACTGCCCGAGGACTTTCGCTCCCGCGCCGCCCCCCTTCGAGTTGGGTCGGGCATGTCCCCCTGGATGCAACATACACCAAAAATGCTCGAACATAGTCAAAAAAAGGTAGGACAATAATCCCCAGACTATTTTTGTTCCTATGCTTGAATCTCCCTCCTGTTGCGGGAACAGGCCCGACTGAACCGTCGGGGGACCCGGGAGGGGCCTCCGGAACGGGCCCCGAGGGCGCCTCCGGGAGACCTCTGGAAGCCTCCCGGGGACCGCTGGAGGTCTTGAAAGGGTCGCTGTCGCCGCCGCCGTCGCCCCCCCCCGCCGCGAATCTCGGCCGTCGTCGTCGCCACCGGCCGCCGAGAGTCCCGCCGTCGTCGCCGGCGAGCGGTTCCCAGATCCCTCCACATGTTCTCCTGCTCCTGCTGCTTCCACCTCCCTCCTGCTCCCCTCTTCTCCTCCTTCTCCTTCTCATCCTCCTCCTCCTCCCCGCCATCGGACGCCTCGGACGAGTCGGACTGGGAAGAGCCCTTGAAGGAAGCTCCCGTCTCCTCTCTCTCTCCTGAGATGTCCCGTTTCTCCACTCGGGGGCGCGCAAGCACGAATCAGGAGAGGTGCCCTCACCAAAATGCGGCCGGTGCCGCCACGCTCGGCGGCGGAACTCCGCGGTTTCCCATGGAAACGGGACCCGTCGCTAATCCACGCCCCCTTGATCCGTGGTTGCGGTCGCCTGATCCACAGCTCTCCACGTGTCCCTCCGCGCTTCTCGCCCCCCTCGCCGTGGAAAGTCTTCCGCCTCCACTGGCGTGGCGGCCATGGGGCTTGCGCTATGGCTGCGCCGCGGGGTGGGCGACAGCAGACCTCGCCGTCCCGACCTGCTCTCGAAGTTGGGCAGGTGACAGGTGTTAGGCGCCAGGCGACGCGTCGAGAATGGGGTGCAAACAGTCTAAAGACAAACGGGGAACCAAGACACAACTAATATAAACTATGACCAAACATTAGAATAGTAACCTGAAAACGAGAACAGATGTGAACGACCGCCTCTAGTTTAGCGGGGGCAGCGACAGACAAGCCAAACCTGTGGAAACGAGGGGAAATGATTGGCCTGCCTAGCGTTTGCCTCTCAACCCTGGGCCTTGGAAATACCCTCCCACTCCCCTCCCATCCTCCCCCTCAGTGTCCAACACTCCCGAGGGCACGTAGACATCCTGCCGAAGAAACACCCACCGCACGAGACGAAGACCTCATCTCTCCTGCTCCCTCCTTCTCATCATACTCCTCTTAATGCCCCTCCTCCTCCTCCAACACCCTCCAGGGCCATTTGCAAATACTTGAACACCTTCCAGCAGCCGCCGACCATCCCCAGACACAGCAGAAAGATCAGACCGCCTTTCGTCCTCCACTCCAGACTGGGTCGAAGGGTGGCGCGCGCACTCGGCCCTCCCAAGCTTCGAAAATGAGTCGCAATCCTTCCACCACTCCACTCCTTCTTTCTCCTCCCCTTTCTGTGCCCCTTCTGTGCCCCTCGCTTCGCTTCCTCTTCGTTGTCGTCGCTCCGTCCTCTCTTGCGTCCCCCTTCCTCTCAGTGGCTACCTTTTCGTCGACGTCGTCGTGCCTCCTCTGGCTCTCTTCCTCCCTCCTCCTCGTTGTCGTCGCTCCGTCCTCTTGCTTCCATCTTCCCCTCCGTCGCCACCTCTTCGTCATCGCCGTTGTCCCTCCTCTGGCTTCCTTTCTCCTCTCAACCCCGCCTCTCCTCGCAGCGGGGCGGACGCTGCGAGGGGGTCCGGCTCCAACCACGGAGTCAAACCACAGTCCTCCCTCCTCCTGCCTCCCAACCTCCGAGCCCACCTCCCTCCCGCCATCCATCCGTCAGTGCCCCTCCTCCTCCTCCTCCTCCTCCTCCTCCTCCTCCTCCTCCTCCTCCTCCTCCTCCTCCTCCTCCTCATCCTCATCCTCATCCCTCATCCATCCTCATCCTCATCCTCATCCTCATCATCCTCATCCCCATCATCCATCCTCATCCTCATCCTCATCATCATCATCATCATCATCATCATCATCATCATCATCATCATCATCATCATCATCATCATCATCATCATCATCATCATCATCATCCCTCGCCTTCTCCTCCTGCTCCTCCTCCTCATCCTCTTCCCTCTCCTCTCCTCTCCTCTCCTCTCCTCTCCTCTCCTCTCCTCTCCTGTCCTCTCCTCTCCACTCCACTCCACTCCACTCCACTCCACTCCACTCCACTCCACTCCACTCCACTCCACTCCACTCCACTCCACTCCACTCCACTCCACTCCACTCCACTCCCTCCTCCTCCTCCTCCTCCTCCTCCTCCTCTTCGTCCTCCTCCTCTTCTTCCTCCTCCTCCCTCCTTCCCCTCCCTCCTCCCTCCTCTTGCTTCCCCGGGGGTAGCTGGGCCTGGTCCCCAGGACCCGTTCTTCGTCCCGAGTCGTTCCCTTGACCGTCCAGGGGCCCAGAGAGGGGCCCCCAACGGCCAAGAGAGAATGCACAGAACCTCCCGTCGCTACGACTCCGCGGGCCCTCCTCCCCCCCCTCCTGACAGCAACGAAACTCGGCCAGGAGAAAGCTGGCCAGGCCAAACTCGGCCAGCTGAACTCGGCGTGCTTCGTCTCGGCCAGGCTGACCTCGACTGGGCTGAGCTCGGCCAGGCTGCGTTCGGCCCAGTCCGAGCTCAGCCTGGCCGAGCTCACCCTGGCCTCTCGCCTCCCTCCTACTGCTCCTCCCAGCTCCAAATCCCTTCCCCTCTCTCGCCTCCCCGCCTCGGGGGATCCGTTGCCCCCCCTCCCTCCTTGCCTCCCTCCTGCCCCGCATGCGCTCCTGCTCGCGCACTGGAGAGGGAGTACGCATGCGGGGCGGATGGGGCAGGGGGAGGTCGACCGAGGCAAAGGAATACGAGCAGGAGGACTCGGCCCTGCGCCACACGAGGAGGACAACGACGAGGCTCGACGACGACGCTACCACGACGACGCTACCACGACGACGGCGACCTCGTAGCGGCCAACCCCTCTGGGGAGAGGGCGAGGGGGGTGGTTATGGGGGAGGGGGGACGGCTTCCTTTCGGGACCAGTGTTTGTTGGAAGGCGCGGGGGGAGGAGGGGGAGGAGGAGGGGGAGGGGGAGGAGGAGGAGGAGGAGGAGGAGGAGGAGGAGGAGAAGGAGGAGGCGGAGGGGGAGGAGGGGGATGAGGAGGAGGAAGGATGATGAGAGGGAAGAGGATCAGGATGAGAAAGCGACGGGAGGCGGAGGGAGGCGGGAGAGCAGGCAGGGAAGCAGGAAAGCGGGCGGAGGGTGGGCAGCAAAAGCGGAGGGAGGCGGGAGGCGGAGGACGAGGGAGGCCGTGGCAAGACGACGCTCCACGACGACACCAAAGGACGTTCGAGGGCGTTCGACGACGGCGGCAAAAGAAAGACGCGACGGCAGAGGCGACGACGTACGAAGACGGTTCCGACCCAGGCAGCAACGGCCACGGCGGCGCTCGACGACGTGCGACGTCGTTTGACGCCGACCCCGAGGACGACGCACGCGACTGCGATGGCAGCTGCGGCGCACATGCGACGACCACGTTCGACGGCGCCTGACGCCGCCGACCACCTTCGCGCCGACGCTCGACGACGACGAGGGCGACGACGACCATCTGAGTGAGGACGACGACGACGACGACGCCGACGACGGCGACGGCAACCACCCCGCGGGCGGCGGCGCCGCGAAGCTCGGCGGCGGCGGGCGGGGCGCGGGGCCCTTGCCCCGCCCCTTGGCCTCGCGCGGGCGGCCGCCACGGCGTGGTCGTGGTCGTGGCCGTGGTCGTGGTCGTGGTCGCCGCCATCGGCAAGGCACCGCCGTCGTCGTCCTCGTCGCTGCCGGCCGTCGTCTTCGGCGTGATGCTCGTCGCCGTCGTCCGCGTGGTCGTTCTCAGTGATTGTCCTCGCCGTCGTCCGCCCCCGCACGCTCCTCTGCACACCCTCCCTCCCTTCTCCCCCTCCCCTCCCCCTCCTGTTCTCCCTTGGCCCTTCTTGCCGCTCAGCGTATGCGGTGTGCAACTGCGAAAAAATTGCGCCCAACGGACCCGCAACAATGGCTCTTGGCATGAAAAGCCGATGCCGTGCCCACTGCGTTGCCGCGAATCCATCTCCTCATGCTCTTCCTGGACCCCAAACGTCCGACGGCCTGTTTTGTTCAACTTGGGGTCCCTGGTGAAGTGAGGGCACAAACTCACAGCATTAGTGTGAGCTTGGAGCGCCATGTTCGTATAAGAATTAATGTTTCAAGAACGGCACCAATGTTCATACGATGCAAACCGTATACAGTATCAGATTCAAAACAAGACGGCCCCAACCAGAAACAAGCTAAAGCCATTGCACGCAAACCACAACCCACATGTTTACAACATTCTTCGGTGCGGCTACGGAGATGCCAGGACGTTTCGCCACCGCTTGACCTAAAGGTCCCGTCGCCTTTTCCCGACTCATCATTCCTCGGCTACGCGCAAGCCGCAAGAGTGACCCTAGGTAAGAGTGACCTTTGGTGCGCGGACTGAGAGAGCGCAAGGTGACCAAATCCAAGCGCGCAAGCAACCACTATCGCATCGCGCTCAGCGATCTGGGGAACCACGGTGAGCCCGCACCAAAGGTCACTCCGACGAAAGGTCACTCTAACGAGTAGTCGAATTCTGAGCCGTCTGTTGACACGTCACCCGTGGACCGGCGAGGGCCATCAAGCACCGAATGCAACTACGAACTTTCAGCCGTGCTATTACTCCAGCGACCGACCACAACGATGTTTGAAACGGAATGGCGTTTACAACGAGCAATCAAACGAGGTCCAACGTTTAAAACGAACGTGTAAAATGAAGCCTGAGCCAAACGATAACGAACGACGAAACGGGGCGTTTACAGCAACAACGAAAATCGAAACGAAACAACAACGAAAAACGAAACGAAAAACACAACAAGGGCCCAAACCAAGCTAAACAGCGTTGTGGTCGGTCCTTGTTTTTCTCGCAGCGCGACGACGAAGGGCAACGTCGAGGGGGGGACGGATCCAGAGAGGGACACGTCGACCCCGAACCAGCGACACGCACAGACAGATCAGCGATCGGCCCCCGATACCGAATCCGCACGCTCCGGGGCGGGGCGGGCGATCGGGCTCCCGTCGGCGACGAACGGGCGATCGGGGATCGATGCGTCTCACCTGGAGCCTGCCCCCCCCTGACGGCGCCCCCCTTGGTCATCACCCGGCTCCTCGGCGACCGCTCGGGAGGATCCGGACAGCCCCGAAGCGTACCAATCCGGCCAGGCACGGCCGCTGGAGGAAGCCCGGCGCTGGAAAACCGCCGCGAACCGACGGAAACCCTCAGAAAGCTCGAAGACCTCCTCGTCTGTTCAACTCACGGGAGCCTCCCATACCATCTTGCTGGCTCTTGCGAAATCGACGCCAACTGGCGCTAGTCGACGCCGAATCGACGCTCGTCGACGCAGACTAGCGCTAGATCGACGCAGCCTCCTCGACTACCAGACGCTAGTCTACGCTGGCGCACTCCAGAGACGGAGTTGCGAGGATATACAGAGCCACCATAGTTCGGGAGCGGCCAAGAGGGCGGCGTCCAAGAGGGGGGCGCAAATCATGGCCAGCGGCATGTGCGCGGCCCGGGGGGGGGGCCCTGGACGTATTGAAATAAGAAGAGGCGCGCCATGAAATCTGGGGAGATGCCATGGCCCCCGCCATGATATCCTTCGCCCCCCTAGTCATCACCCCCCTCTTTGCCGCCCCCGAGTATTTGCTGCCGATAACCTCGACCGCGACCCCTCATCTGTGGATCGCATTGGCGCTGATGCTGCCCCTGCTGGTTCGCCCCGTTGCCGGCAGGCGGACTCTGGAAGAAAAATCAAACATAGCCAAATACATGTTCAAAGAGTATCAAAAAATACGAACCATCTTCACCACACTCTCTTTGTTACTGCTCTTGATCCCCTCGGTAGAGGGACGTGCCCGACTCCCCTTCTTTTCTTCCTTCTCCTCGTCATCCTCCACCTCCTTCCCCCTCCAACTTATGGTGGTGGTGGTGGAAAACAGGCCCATCAGCAGATGGTGCTCGGTGAAACCTGTTCAGGTTCACGAACATGGCCCTCATCATCGCGCGCAGCCGACACATGACACGGCAACGCAGCTGCACCCTCAGCCGCCCAGAACCTGACCCGTCCTTTGTTGCGCATCGGAGACTGGCACGTTTGCCTGCATGCATGGAGGGGGGGGGGCAGTCGAGAGGTCTCTCCACCATAAGGCCCTAACGTGACGCGTAGTTTGTCAGCCTCCTGGGGGCTTCTCGTCGCCACGGCTGGACCCGCCTTGGAAAACTGACCCCGGGAGTGGTCTGGCGACAGATCTTGAGTAGACTTGGGCCAAGAGTTTATGGCTGTTTACTCAACTCTGACAAGTTTGCCTGCGTGGACAGGGGGGGAGGGGGGCTGCCATGCAACCCCAGCTCACGCGTCCGAAAGCCGAAGCACTCATTGAAGAGGAACCCAAGGGGAGGGGGGAAGAAAAAACCATGCAAGCCAGCTTGCCGGAATCTAGATTCGGCAAAAATTAGTGCTGTGGACGCCCGAGCTGCGTACGGAAATCATGTGTACGATGCCCAACAGCAAATGTTGTCCCAAACCGAGGGCGGCCGCTGTCGGGCAGGCGGCCTTCTGTCTCAGAGGCCCAGCATCCGCGGCGACACCGACGGCGAGTCCTGTTCCGAACGAACACGACCTGCTGTCGGTCTTTGTACACATGATCTACGCGCCCATCTTTTGAAAACCGCGATACGATCCCTCTCACAATGCATACTTGCTCAGAGGGTGCCTGTGCCAGGGATCGCACGGGCTGAATCGCCTCGGCCAGTCTCGGTCCCCACTGCTGGCGCCATTACGGCGAAGACCTTGCAATCCCCGCCGAAAGGTTGATGCGCTGCCGGGCTCTTCGGCCAGTCTCGCCGGGTCAGGGCGAGTCGACCGGGCCGTGGGCACGCCGGACTCACCCGGTATCCACGGTGCGGCAGGGAGCTCGGCTCGGCTCGAGAGCTCTCATTAGGGAAGGCGGCCTACGAGGGCCAGTGCAGGGGGCAGAAGATCCAGCCCGAGAATAACCACCCCGACACGCGAAGCCATTCGGCAAAGCACCCAAAGAAAGAATCGAACAGGGCAGGGCTGTTTCGTAAACGCCCAGAACCAAGGGAGATAAGGTGTTACTGCGGCCCGTTGGTTGTTACTGCGGCCCGGTGGGTGTTAGTATGGCCAGGGGTCCTCCAGAGTGTATTAATTATCGAGTACGGTAGGGGGGTGGGGGTGGGGGGGGGGGGGGGGGGGGGGGGGGCAAAAAAGGCTCCGCCCCCCCCCCCCTTCACCGAAGAGCCTCTCGGAAGAGCCTCTGGTGCTCTCCGAAGAGCCTCTTGGAGCCGCCGAAGACCTTCTTCCAGCCGCCTAAGAGCCGCTTGGGCTCTCCGAAGAGCCTCGTGGGGCCTCCGAAGAGCTTCTTGGGGCATCCGAAGCGCTTCTTGGGCTCTCCGAAGAGCCTCTTGGGCTTCCCGAAATACTACTACTACTACTACTACTACACTACTACTACTACTACTACTACTACTACTACTACGATTACTACTACTACTACTACTACTACACTACTACTACTACTACTACTACTACTACTACTACTACTACTACTACCTACTACTACTACTACTACTACTACTACTACTACTACTACTACTACTACGACTACTACTACTACTACTACTACTACTACTACTACTACTACTACTACTACTACTACTACTACTACTACTACTACTACTACTACTACTACTACTACGACTACTACTACTACTACTACTACTACGTACTACTACTACTACTACTACTACTACTACTACTACTACTACTACTACTACTACTACTACTACTACTACTACTACTACTACTACTACTACTACTACTACTACTACTACTACTACTACTACTACTACTACTACTACTACTACTACTACTACTACTACTACTACTACTACTACTACTCGTCGTCCCTAGCACCCTAGGGCTAGCACTCCCTAGCGCCAGTACTTCCTAGGGCTAGCACTCCCTAGCGCCAGTACTACCTGGCACTCCCTCGGACTAGCACTCCCTAGGACTAGTATTCCCTAGGGCTGGTACTCCGTAGTGCGAGTACTCCCTAGGACGAGTACTCCCTTGGACGAGTACGCCCTAGGGGTAGTAATTCCTAGGACTGGTACTCCCTGGGGCTAGCACTCCCTGCGGCTAGTACTCCGTAGGACTAGTACTCCTTATGAACGATATTACTTAACACCAACACTACAGCACCATTGTACTACCACACTACAGCACTACTACCACAATACCAGTACCACAACACCACAACACCGCTACCACAACACCACTACACCGCTACCACAATACCACAACCACAACACCACAACACCGCTACCACAACACCACTACCACAGCACCACTGCCACTACCACAACACTACTACCTACTAACAACTCAACAACACTACCAACACCACACCACTAACACAACACTACCAACACCACACCACTAACACAGCACACCACTACCAACACCACACTTCTAACACAGCATACAGCACAACCAGCCACTACCAACACCACACCACTAACACAACATTACCAACACCACACCACTAACACAGCACAGCGACCACCACACCACTAACACAGCACTACTACCACGTTGGTTCCAGGTGGGAGTTACTGTGGCCACTTTTGCCTGCGCGGGAGTGCATTCCCTTAGGGGTTGCGAATCTCTCCAGATCTAACATGAGATACCTTTACATATTACTTTTCATTGAGCGGCCTGCGCGGGCCACAGTAACTCCCATCCCGCCGCGCGACGGGCCACACTAACACTCAACGGGCCACACTAACACCCAACGGGCCACAGTAACAACCGGTCGCCGCCAATTGTCCGGTCTGGGTGGTGGTTCCTCCGATGACAGGGTGGGTGCGGGGTCAGCATGTTCGTGACAGCATTGGCTCCAAGAGTTCGCGTCGACACCGTGTGCTGCTTCGGGCCAGCGCTCCAGCCGGTCCCCGAGGGATCGGCACACGCTCGAGTGGGGCGGCGCTTGCAGGTCTTTGCGGTTGACACGTGCCTCATGGTCAGTGGCATTCCAGAAGAGAGCAATAGTTGCATTGATCGTCGATCTCATCTCTCAGGGGGGGTGGAGGGCGGGAGATGGTGCGGGAGGAATCTGCGAGGCACGGGGGGGCGCTCGGAGGAAGAGCTGCACTCGAAGGAGCAGGGACGAGAAGGGGTCGCTGAAGAATGCAACGAACCATGATAACAGTGGGGACGAGGAGAAGCAACAGAAGAGAGGAGCAGCACCAGCGGCAGCGGGAGCAGAGCGAGAGAGAGACGGGGACGGGGGGGAGGAGAAGTGCTGAGGAAGCAATGGGATGGGGGGCAACGAGGGCTGAGGAGGAGGGAATCGACGATGACGACGAAGCCAGCGGCGACAGTGGCGAAGACGGCGACGACAACCCGCGCCAAGGCCGCTCGGGCCGCGCGCGCCCGGCCTGAGTCGTGGCGGCCTGCTGATCCGCGGCCCCTGGTGGTGGCCCGGGGCTACCAGGGTGAGGTCGGGAATCTCCTCCCACAGGCGGACTTTCGACGAAAAATAAACAGATGGTTAGATGGTCGAAAAGTGCTCAAACAATGTCAAAGCTGGTAGAAAACGTCCCCCAACTATTTTGTTGGCTATGTTTGAGTATTCATCCTGCAGGTTTGGGTGGCCACAAAGGGGGTCCAGCTGGAAGGGGGTGGTGCAATAGATTTTGGGCAAATGTATTGCAAATGTACTGCGCCGGAGAATTGTACTGCATTGTATTGCATGTAGTGTATTGCGCGCGGAAGTGCAGCAACACATTTGCGCGCCGAAGTGTATTGCACGCCCCAAGTGTAGTGCAACCCCAAAAATCTATCGCACCAGATCTCTTGCACCACCCCCTCGTCGCTGGACCCCCTCGTGGGTCAACCCGAGAGAAGCCCCGCCGCCTTTTTTGAGTCGGGGCGGAGGGGCTCCTCGGAAGTCTTCCGGCCCTCTTGGAAGCTCCCGGTGGTAATTATCGGGGAGGGCCTGGGAAGCCTCGGCACTCTGGGAAGCCCGCCCTATCTGCTCTTTCCCCCCGGAAAGGCGCGCCGCCGACCGAGCCGAGGGGCAGGCCCGACGGCAGGCTGCCGGGACCCGTTTCCGAGGTTTCTGGGGTCCAAACCAATGCCGTCGGCGATACATCGGCGCCGTCTCGGCTCTGTGGTGGCCGTTCGGGACCCTCCCGGCACCTCCAGAACGCCCTCGGCGAGGCGCAGCTGCTGGAACGCATCCGAGGCCGGCTGGAAACCCGCCGAGGACCGCCAAAAGCAACCGAAAACCGCTATCCTCGAACCCGAATGCTATCCAGACCCGCTCCTCCGCGGCGTCCCCGAAAGGGAGGTCGCTCAGCGTGAGAAGGACACGGCTGGGGCCTTCCCCCGGGACGAGATCTCCACCCTGAATTGCTCTCTGACGGTGCCGGGGGCCCGTGCAAGGCCTCGGGAGCCCGGAAAGGGCGAACAAAACTCAGGACCCGTTTCCCTCAGGAGGGCCCGATGCTCCACCACCGCCGCTGCCATAGGTAGGAGAGAGAGGAGGAAGAGGACGAGGAGAAGGAGGATAAGGATAAGGAGGAGGAGTAGGAGGAGGAGAACGATAAGGAAGAGGAGGAGGAGGAGGACGAGGAGGAGGAGAGAGAGGGAGAGGAGAAGAGGGAGGAGCAGGACGAGGAGGAAGAGGAGAAAGAGATGAAGGAGGACAAGACGGAAGAGAAGGAATAGGAGGAGGAGGAGGAGGAGGTGGAGGAAGAGGAGGAGGAGGAGGAGGAGGACCTCTCCAGCCCCAATAACGGTGGTGGAAGACTGGCCCATCACGTCCGGACCCGCTCTCCACCGCGGCGAGGGAGGTCTCGTCGGACCGAGCGGCGGCCGGCCCCGCGGATAGTACTTCTGGCAGGCCGCCGTGTACTCGAAGTACCTCGAGGGAGGGAGCGCGCGGCCGCCGCCGCGCTGGCATCAGGTCGGGCGTGTCCTGCTCCAGGCGGATGTTGTACGAAAGATGAGAACATACCCCCAAACTACAAAAAAATACCTACTACTAATAAGAAAGTACCCCAAAAGACAAACAACAAACAATACCCCCCCAAAAAAATACAAAGAAAGTGCTCAACAACGGTCAAAGCACCGTCCCCAGACCATTTCTGTGACCATGTTTGGCTATTCCTCCTGCAGAGGGCCAGGCCCGACTTTCATCATCGGTGGGGACAACTGGCGGCCGCCCGCAGGGTGTTCCTTGGCGGCGCGCACAGAGGGGGCAGGGCTAGGTCGGGAATGTCCCCCTACAGGCGGATTTTAGACGAAAAATAAAAAATAGCCGAAGTGGGTTAGGGGGGGGGGAGGGGAGAGCACAGAGCGGGGTAAGGGGAGAGGGGAGAAGGGGAGGCTTGGCGGCGAGCACAAAGGGGGGTAGGGGGAGAGGGGAAGGCTTCTTACAAGCAGGCTGCTTCTATGTGTTGGCTACTTTTGGATATGCCTCCTGTAGAGGGACAGGCCCGATTTGGAGGGGGGGGAGGCTTCTTAGAAGCAGGCTGCTTCTTAGCAGGCGCGGGCCTCATATCTGCAGACAGGGCCCGCGCCTTCTAAGAAACAGAGACCCGCGCCTTCTAAGAAGCAGGGGTGCTTCTGAGAAGCCTTCCCCCCGCCCCCTACTCCCCTCTGCGCGTGGCCGAGAATTGTCGACCAATGCCCTGAACCCTGCGGATCTTTCTGTGCCGTGGACTGCTGCAGGCTAGGCTCCCGGAAGGACGAACCAGCAGGAGGAGCATGGTATATGCCATTGACTGGCACACGAGGCCCGAGCAGAAGATCGGAAGCCGACGCTGCGAAGCTAGCGCGCGCGTTTCAACGCCAATACACCGGGCATGAGCGTAAACGCTCAGGAAGAGGAGAAGAGGAAGAGGAAGGAGAGGTTACCGATGCCGCTACCCTTGGCTCGCTTTCGCCCTCTGGGGCCACCTGGGAAGCCGTCGTCGCTACGGCTGGATTCGCCTCGAGCCTCCGGTCAGAACGTTCCCCGGGAGAGGTCTGGGGAGTAGCGGTGTCGGTTCCCTTTGCTTTTGTTTCCCAGTGTGGGCAAGGCGACAAGGCGACAAGGGAGAGGACACCAAGGCAATCTACGCCCCTCCTCTGTCTCGCGCCGGGCGGCCTTCGTGCTGACAGGGCTGCTCTGAGGCTGAGGATGATGGCTGATGAAGACGATGAGAACCCAAAACAAAAATAACAGGGGAGAGGGCGATAAAACATAAACGTGCCGCCGGGGAACTGTTGGAGGCGGCGACCATCTAATCTCGATAGCGCCGACGACTCCACGAGCAGGCCCTGAACCCAATTTATCAAGCATCACCCATCGGGCAAACATGAGACTCGAGTTCGGGGGACTCGGGCTGGACTGGCGGGGCCGTCAGGAACATGACGAGGCCCAGTCTGATGGACGTCGACGCGATCCCCCGCTGCAGGCGTCCCACGAAAGCCGGGACGCCCAAAGTCAGGGATGGACAAACCCCCTTTCTATGAAATGCACACAAATCCCAGAATCCCCCATCTTCTCCGATATCTTCTGGACTTTCGTCTTCCCCCCACTTCCCATATTTTCACATATTTTCCTGGGGGTCGACGATTAATTGTGTCTGTAGGTTTTGTTCCCTCCTGACTTTGGTAAAACGTGGCTTGGTGACAACGGCCTCGTGCCCAAACCTGGCGAGCGCAGGCCTGGAAAAGGACGGCCGCGGCGCCCTCTCGAGAACCGACAACGGACAATTCGCGATTCGACGTGTCAGGGGGGGGTTCTCCACGGCCGCCCACCGCGCTCTGGCCCTGCAGGATCCGAGCAGGCGGAGGGGGGGAGGCTTTTGGCGGCGCGCAGAGGGGGGTAGAGGGGGAGGGGGGGGGCTTCTTAAGCCCCCTGCTTCCCAAAACCCGCGTCTTCCTAGGGAAGGGTGGAGCCCCCCCCCCCTACCCCCCTCTGCGCGTGGCCGAGAGATGCTCTTAGAGAGGCTGGCCTGGCAGGACCGAGTCAGTGACGCCTGACAGGATCCTGCAAAACATCCTGCAAAACATCCTACAGGTTCCTGCGCCCAGAGTCCCGGGTCAGTTCGCCCCTGGCTCTCTGCAGGATCCTGCAAGATCCGGAGCTCTGACTGCCCCGTCTCCTGAGGCCCGATCCTGAGAAGGAGGCTACCTCTTAGAAGGCGCCAGCCCTACATCTAAACAGACGGCCCGCGCCTTCTGAGAAGAAGGGGTGCTTCTGATAAGCCTTCCCGCTGCCCCCACCCCCTTGTGATGAGACGCCACCCTTCCATCCAAGGAACCTTCGCTGCAGTCAGGCCAGCATTGTATCAGATTGCCGCTACGGAGGCGAGTCTGCAGGGGCCCTGGAACACACAAATCCGCCGATCCGGCGTGTGAGTTTCAAGGAGTCTCAGCTACAGCCTCGAGGCTGAGCCTCAGCCTCTGGGGGGGGTTGCCGGGGTGGCTCTGCCGGGGAAGGGGGGGTGGGGGGTGGGGGGGGGTGCGAGTTTCCGGCGGATGCGTTTTTTGACACCCCTCACAAGGATCGTGGCCTCCGAGGGGGTTCCGAACTCGAGTACCACCCCTCCCGCACCAAGAGGCTCCGAGGAGGCCTCCAAGAGGCCCCAAGGGGCGCAGAAGAGGCCCCCAAGAAGCCCCAAGAGGCTCCCAAGAGACCCCCAAGAGGCCCTCTAGTGGCCCCAAGAGGCCCGAGAGGCCCCCAAGAAGCCCCAAGAGGCGCCCAAGAGGCCCCCAGAAGTCCCAGCCAACCACGAGATCCCAACCAGCATCCATGAGGTCTCTGACCCACCACCCACGCACGGTGGCGGGATAGGCCGACGGCCACTGGATCCGCCGCCCCCTGCTTGCAGGGGTGCACGGCGTGCTGGATGAGCTGTCAGGTTTTGGTTTTGGTTCTTTTTCCAAAAGAACCTTCCCAGTGGGCTCCGGCAGAACACGCCGGCCACCCGGAATTTCCCCAAACGTGCTCAACGACCGCAAAAAATCCTCCAAGAACGGCCGTTTCGCTCGGGACATCCTCAAAAAATCGCGAAGATGGCCCAAGATGGCCTCCAAGTCCGCCCGAGATGGTCCAAGACGGCCTCCAAAACGGCCCAAGAGAGTCCAAGACGGCCCAAGACGGCCCAAGAGGCCCCCCAGAGGCCTCCCAGACGGCCCAAGAGGCCTCCAAGAGGTCCTCCAGGAGAGTCCGAAGAGGCCAAAATCATTGATTTTCCTTGGTTTTTGAAGGATTTTGGCATTTGCGCCTTTTCGGCTCTCCGACGGCTCAAGACGGCCCAAGAAGCCCCCAAGATCGCCCAAGAGGCCCCCAAGAGAGCCCCATGATGGCCCAAGTGGCCTCCAAGATGGCCCCTAGAGGGCCCCAAGACGGCCCAAGAGGCCTCCAACACGCCCAAGATGGCCTCCAAGACGCCCAAGATGGCCTCCAAGACGGCCCTGGAGCGCCCCAAGAGGGTCCCCCGTTGGCCCATAGAGGCCCCCCAAACGGCTTCCGACGGCTTCAGACGTGCCAGGAACCCACCAAGATGGCCGAAGTTGGCTCGAAGCTGGCCCAAAAGGGCCCAAGAGGCCCCCAAGAGGGCCTCCAGGAAGGCCAAAAGATGCCAAAATCACTGATTTTCCAGAGGTTTTTGATGGATTTGGGCATTTCCCTTTTTTCGGCCTTCCGACGGCCCGAGACGGCCCAAGAGCCCCCAAAGATCGCCGAAAGATCGCCCAAGAGGCCTCCAAGACGGCGACGATGACCATCAAGACGCCCACGTGTTCCCCGAAGGCTTTCCAAACCGATTCGGGGAACACATGGTCCGATGGCTTGGCAGGTCTGGCCTCAACGTTCGGCCACATAGGCGCTTCCACAAAGGCAGGGGGCGGCGGTGATTCGCCGTAGGCGTCTTCGATCCGCCGCCCCCTGCTTGCAGGGGTGCACGGCGTGCTGGATGATTCAGGTTTTGGTTTTGGTTCTTTTTCTAAAAGAACTCCCCAGTGGGCTTCGGCCCGTCCCGCCGGCCACCCGCGCATTTCCCAAAATGCGTCTGTCAATGCCCAAAAACGGCCGTTTCGCTCGGGACATCCTCAAAAAATCGCGAAGATGGCCCAAGATGGCCTCCAAGTCCGCCCGAGATGGTCCAAGACGGCCTCCAAAACGGCCCAAGAGAGTCCAAGACGGCCCAAGACGGCCCAAGAGGCCCCCCAGAGGCCTCCCAGACGGCCCAAGAGGCCTCCAAGAGGTCCTCCAGGAGAGTCCGAAGAGGCCAAAATCATTGATTTTCCCTTGGTTTTTGAAGGATTTTGGCATTTGCGCCTTTTCGGCTCTCCGACGGCTCAAGACGGCCCAAGAAGCCCCCAAGATCGCCCAAGAGGCCCCCAAGAGAGCCCCATGATGGCCCAAGTGGCCTCCAAGATGGCCCCTAGAGGGCCCCAAGAGGGCCCAAGAGGCCTCCAACACGCCCAAGATGGCCTCCCAGACGCCCAAGATGGCCTCCAAGACGGCCCTGGAGCATTCCAAGCGGGCCCCAAGTCGGCCCATAGAGGCCCCCCAAACGGCTTCCGACGGCTTCAGACGTGCCAGGAACCCACCAAGATGGCCGAAGTTGGCTCGAAGCTGGCCCGAGACGGCCCAAAAAGCCCCAAAGATCGCCCAAAGCTTGCCCAAGAGGCCTCCAAGACGGCCAAGATGACCTTCAAGATGCCCACGTGTTCCCCGAAGGCTTTCCAAACCGATTCGGGGAACACGTGGTCCGATAGCTTGGCAGGTCTGGCCTCAACGTTCGGCCACATAGGCGCTTCCAAAAAGGCAGGGGTCGGCGGTGATTCGCCGTAGGCGTCTTCGATAAATGCTTAGTGAGAGGAGGGGAGGGAAAAAAAGAGGAGGGACGAGGGCGAAGAAGGATCACATCAGTCGGAGCGCCCCAGATCGGCGGCACTGGCCGAAGGCCACTACAATAAATACACCCAAATAAAAAGATTCCCCATGTTTTCCCATATTTTCTGGGTTCCTGTCTTCCCCCCCACTGCCCATATTTTCCTACATTTTCTGGGGAATCGACGATCAATTGTGTCTGTGTGTTTCCTCCCCTCCTGAGAGTCGCACTGCGTGGGCCACGGGTGGCACCGCCCCGGCGTGCGGTGCGCTGCCAACGACGCTCGCGGAGGCAGCTGTCCGCCGCACGCGCAGTGCTGCACTCCCCTGTGCGGGCCGTGTGCGGCGGGCCCCCCTCCCACCACCCGATGAGGTGCAGTCGCCTGAGCCCGGCACCGCCTCCCGAGGCGTGCGCCGCCGCGCGGCGCCACGACCGCTCAGCGCGCGCGTCGCCAAGAAAGAAGCCTGCCCTCCCCCCCTCCCCCCTAAGCCCCCTCTCTGCGCGCGGTCGACGGAGGGGGAAAGGGGGAGCACTGCTCCCAGCACTTCCGCCGGTAGGCCTCGAACTCCTCCGGGGAGGTGCCTCTTCGGCGGGCCGCGCGGCGAGGCGAGCAGAAACAGCGCCAGTGACTTGGCAGGTGGCGCTGCGTTGCAGCATAATCGCTGGGCGCCGTTCCCAACCACCCCCTTCTCGATTCCTGATAACTGTCTTAGTGTGGAGGGCTCAGGGTGAAATCCATGTGGGCTTTTGCACCTCGAAAACCAGTCCGTCTTGTGATTCACCCCTCTTGCAAATTCAAGCCTCGAACATCCATCAAAACGGCATTTCAGATTTCACGATTTGCCCTCCACCCAAAGAGAATGCTCGGGCTCCCCCCCCCTCCTCGATTCCACGATTGAAGCGAAGGACTCCGGACGCCTGTCGCAAGTGACGCGCCTCTGCGCGCTGGCTCTCGCGACCAGGCCCCTCTAGGGCACCAGCCGCCACGGCCAGGCTTTCCCCGAGGCCGCTCGAAGCGCGCCCTGGGAGGGGCCACTCTCGCGAGGCCTCGCCGCCGCTGCCGCGCTCATGCGGCACGGCGAGCGAAGCAAGCTACCTGCTCAAAGGCCCGTCGGCCCCGAGCACGACTCGACGCAGGGCTCGCTGAACGAGCAGGCCCCGTGCAGCTGAACAAACGGTCCCCCGGCGACCGAACCGGCAGGCAGGCTTCCCAGACATCCGCAATCTCGACTTGTCCCAACCATCCCGTGGTGTGGGTCCCTCGTTTTGACGAGGCAGCGCCCCGCGTCCCTCCTCTCCTCTCCGCCTCCTCCCCTTCCTCCCTCCTCACATCCCTGCCTCTGCCATCCGAGCCAATCAGCCATTTCGGCACATCCCTCACACGTTCGTGGCCACACAGGGAGCTCCGACGAAGGCCTTAGTGGCTGCGCTCACATGCGCCAGCCGTACCCATTCCGGCACAAGATTACCCACAAGAAGCTCCACCGAAGGACCCAGTGGCCGCGGCGCATTTTGGCACACCCCTCACACGGGTCGTGGCCCCATGGGGAGCTCCACCGAAGGCCCTGTGGCTGCGTTCGCATGCGCCCGCCGCGCCTATGTCGGCACACCCCTCACAAGTTTCGTGGCACCATGGGGAGCTCCACCGAAGGCCCAGGTGGCTGCATTCGCATGCGCCAGCCGCGCACATTTCCGCACACCCCTCACGTCTTCCGTGGCCCCGTAGGGAGGTTCCATCGAAGGCCCCGGTGCCTGCGCTCGCATGCGCCCGCCGCGCCCATTTCGGCACACCCCTCACACCGCTCGTGGCCCCACCGAAGGCAACACTGGCTACGTTCGCATAATTACGCCCGCCGAACCTACTTCGGCACACCCCTCACACGTTTCGGAGCCCGTAGAAAGTTCCACCGAAGGCCCAGGTGGCTGCGTTCGCATGCGCAAGCCGCACCTATTCTGGCACACCCTTCACACGTTTCGTGGACCCATAGGGAGTTCCACCGAAGGCCGCAGTGGCTGCGTTCGCATGCAGCCGCCGCACCCATGTCTGGCACGCTTTCATACGAGTCGTGGTCCCATAGTGTCAGTTGCACCGAAGGCCCCAGTGGCTGCGTTCGCATGCGCCCGCCGCACACATCTCGGCGCACTCTTCAAACGTTTCGCGGCTCCATAGAAAACTCGACCGAAGTCCACAGTGGCTGCGTTCGCATGCGCCCGGCGCGCCTATTTCGGCACACCCCCCACACGTTCCGTGGGCCCATGGGGAGCTCCACCGAAGGCCCCGGTGGCTGCGTTCGCATGAAGCCGCCGCACCCATGTCGGCACACCCCTCACACGTTTCGTGGCCCCTAGGGGGAGCTCCACCGAAGGCCCCAGTGGCTACGTTCACATACGCCCGCCGCACCTATTTCGGCACACCCCTCACACATTTCGTTGTCCCGTAGAGGTTTCTACCGAATGCCCCAAAGGCTACGTTCGCATGCGCCCGCCGAACCCATTCCGGCACACGCCTCACACGTCTTTTATGGCCTCGTGGAGAATTCCACCGAAGACCTGATGGCTGCGTTCGAATGCCCCCGCCGCACCCATTCCGGCACACCCCTCACACGTTTGGTGGCCCCAGGGGTAGCTCCACTGAAGGCCCCAATGGCTGCGTTTGCGTGCGCTGGCCACACCCATTTCGGCACGCAGCTCACATGTCTCGTGGCCGTGTAACAAGTTCCACCGAGGACAAAAGTGGGTACGTTCGCACGCCCCCGCCGCACCCATTCTGGCAGCACACCCCTCACACGTTTCGCGTCCCCATAAGGAGTTCCACCGAAGGCCCCGGTGGCTGCGTTCGCATGGTCCCGCCGCACCCATTCTGGCGCAACTCTCATAGGTGTCGTGGCACCATAGGGAGCCTCACCGAAGGCAGCAGTGGCTGGGTTCGCATGCGCCCGCCGCGCCCATGCCGGCACACACCTCAAATCTTTCAAGGCCCTACAGGGAGCTCCACCGAAGGCAGTCGTGGTTGCGCTCGTATGCGCCCGCCGCATCCATTTCGGCACACACATTTCGTTGCCCCGTAGACGGTTCCACCGAAGGCCCCAGCGGCAACGTTCATGCGCCCACCGCGTCCATTTCGGCACACCTCTCGAGACTGCAATGTCTGCGCTCGCATGCGCCAGCCGCATGCGTGCCGGCACAAGTCACACACGATTCGTGTCCCCATGGGGAGCTCCACCGAAAGCCCCACTGGCAGCGTTCGCATGCGCCCGCCGCACCCATTCTGGCAGCACACCCCTCACACGTTTCGTGGCCAGGTAGAGACTTCCACCGAAGGCCCAATGGCTGCGTTCGCATGCGCCCGCCGCACCCATTCTGGCACAACTCTCATACGTGTTGTGGCACCATAGGGAGCCTCACCGAAGGCAGCAGTGGCTGGGTTCGCATGCGCCCGCCGCGCCCATGTCGGCACACCCCTCACACCTTTCAAGGCCCCACAGGGAGCTCCACCGACGGCCGTCTTGGCTGCGCTCTCATGCCCCGCCGCACATATTTCGGCACACCCCTCACATATTTCGTTGCCCCGTAGACAGTTCCACCGAAGGCCGCAGTGGCAACGTTCATGCGCCCGCCGCGCCCATTTCGGCACAGCCCTCATAAGTAGAAAAGTTCCACCGAAGGCCACAGTGGCTGCGTTCGCATGCGCCCGCGGCACCCATTCTGGCACACCCATCACACGTTTCGTGGCCCCCTGGGGAGCTCAACCGAAGACGGTATTCACAACTGCGTTACTCACAACTGAACATGGTTGGGTCCTTTGCCAAACTAATGTAAAAACGCGGGCCCCCAACCTCTCGACCACTTCCCCGTGACTGGTTTTTCGTCGCGAGTCGTTTTCTGACGCTCCCGGGGCCCGGCCAGGGCCCCGCCCGAGAGGCCGAAAACGATGAAACACATCCGGCTCGATGTTTTCGAGACGCCAGGATGTCTGGGATTGGGGCCCTCTTGGAACCCGCTTCGGGTTCCTTGGGCGTCCCTTGGTGGCTCGGCTGGCACCGTTTGGGAGCGCGCTTCTGGCGCCCTGCCTGCGTGTTCCGTGGGCCCCCTCCTGGGGCCTCACTGGGCCCGTCGGCGGAAGAGGAAGGTGTGGAGAGATCCGAGGAAACCCGATAACCTCGTTTCCTGATAACTGTCTGAGTGTGGAGGGCTCGAACTCCTCCGGGGAGGTGCCTCTTCGGCGGGCCGCGCGGCGAGGGGAGCAGAAACAGCGCCGGTGACTTGGCAGGTGGCGCTGCGTTGCAGCATAATCGCTGGGCTCTGTTCCCAACCACCCCCTCCTCGATTCCTGATAACTGTCTGAGTGTGGAGGGCTCAGGGTGAAATCCATGTGGGCTTTTGCACCTCGGAAACCAGTCCGTCTTGTGTGTTTCACCCCTTGCAGATTCAAGCCTCGAGCATCCATCAAAACGGCATTTCAGATTTCACGATTTGCCCTCCACCCAAAGAGAATGCTCGGGCTCCCCCCCCTCCTCGATACCACGATTGAAACGAAGGACCCCGGACGCCTGTCGCAAGTGACGCGCCTCTGCGCGCTGGCTCTCGCGACCAGGCCCCTCTAGGGCACCAGCCGCCACGGCCAGGCTTTCCCCGAGGCCGCTCGAAGCGCGCCCTGGGAGGGGCCACTCTCGCGAGGCCTCGCCGCCGCTGCCGCGCTCATGCGGCACGGCGAGCGAAGCAAGCCTCCTGCTCAAAGGCCCTTCGGCCCCGAGCACGATTCGACGCAGGGCTCGCTGAACGAGCAGGCCCCGTGCAGCTGAACAATCGGTCCCTGCGGCGACCGAACCGGCCGGCAAGCTCCCCAGACATCCGCCGTCTCGACTTGTCCCAACCGTCCCGTGGTGTGGGGCCCTCGTTTTGACGAGGCAGCGCCCCGCGTCCCTCCTCTCCTCTCCGCCTCCTCCCCTTCCTCCCTCCTCACATCCTTGCCTCTGCCATCCGTGCCAATCAGCCATTCCGGCACATGCCTCACACGTTTCGTGGCCACACAGGGAGCTCCGACTAAGGCCTTAGTGGCTGCGTTCACGTGCGCCCGCCGTACCCAGTCCGGCACAACATTACCCACAAGAGGCTCCACCGAAGGACCCAGTGGCCGCGGCGCATTTTGGCACACACCCCTCACACGGTTCGTGGCCCCATGGGGAGCTCCACCTAAGACCCTGTGGCTGCGTTCGCATGCGCCCGCCGCGCCTATTTCGGCACACCCCTCACAAGTTTCGTGGCACCCTGGGGAGCTCCACCGAAAGCCCAGGTGGCTGCATTCGCATGCGCCAGCCGTGCACATTTCCGCACACCCCTCACGTCTTCCGTGGCCCCGTAGGGAGGTTCCGTCGAAGGCCCAGGTGCCTGCGCTCGCATGCGCCCCCCGCGCCCATTTCGGCACACCCCTCACACCGTTCGTGGCCCCACCGAAGGCAACACTGGCTACGTTCGCATACGCCCGCCGAACCTACTTCGGCATACCCCTCACACGTTTCGGAGCCCGTAGAAAGTTCCACCGAAGGCCACAATGGCTGCGTTCGCATGCGCAAACCGTACCTATTCCGGCACACCCTTCACACGTTTCGTGGACCCATAGGGAGTTCCACCGAAGGCCGCAGTGGCTGCGTTCGCATGCGTCCGCCGCATCCATGTCTGGCACGCTTCCATACGCGTCGTGGTCCAATAGTGTGAGTTCCACCGAAGGCCCCAGTGGCTGCGTTCGCATGCGCCCGCCGCACCCATCTCGGCGCACTCTTCAAACGTTTCGCGGCCCCATAAAAAATTCGACCGAAGTCCACAATGGCTGCGTTCGGATGCGCCCGCCGCGCCTATTTCGGCACACACCCCACACGTTTCGTGGGCCCATGGGGAGCTCCACCGAAGGCCCTGGTGGCTGCGTTCGCATGCAGCCGCCGCACCCATGTCGGCACGCCCCTCACACGGTTCGTGGCCCCTAGGGGGGAGCTCCACCGAAGGCCCCAGTGGCTGCGTTCGCATGCGCAAACCGCACCTATTCCGGCACACCCCTCACACAGTTGGTTGCCCCGTAGAGGTTTCTACCGAATGGCCCAACGGCTTCATTCGCATGCGCCCGCCGAACCCATTCCGGCACACGCCTCACACGTTTTGTATGGCCCCGTAGAGAATTCCACCGAAGACCTGATGGCTGCGTTCGCATGTCCCCGCCGCACCCATTCCGGCACACCCCTCACACGCTCGGTGGCCCCAGGGGTAGCTCCACTGAAGGCCCCAATGGCTGCGTTTGCATGCGCCCGCCACAACCATTTCGGCACGCACCTCATATGTCTGGTGGCCGTGTAACAACTTCCACCGAGGACAAAAGTGGGTACGTTCGCACGCCCCTGCCGCGTCCATTCTGGCAGCACACTCCTCACACGTTTCGCGTCCCCGTAAGGAGGTCCACCGAAGCCCCCGGTTGCTGCGTTCGCATGCGCTCGCCGCACCCATTCTGGCACAACTCTCATACGTGTCGTGTCACCATAGTGAGCCTCACCGAAGGCAGCAATGGCTGGGTTCGCATGCGCCCGCCGCGCCCATGTCGGCACACCCCTCACACCTTTCAAGGCCCCACAGGGAGCTCCACCGAAGGCCGCCGTGGCTGCGCTCGCACGCGCCCGCCGCATCTGTTTCGGCACACCTCTCACACATTTCGTTGCCCCGTAGGCGGTTCCACCGAAGGCCCCAATGGCAACGTTCATGCGCCCGCCGCGCCCATTTCGGCACACCTCTCGAGACTGCAATGTCTGCGCTCGCATGCGCCAGCCGCATGCGTGCCGGCACAAGCCACACACGTTTCGTGGCCCCTGGGGAGCTCAACCGAAAGCCCTTGTGGCAGCGTTCGCATGCCCCCGCCGCACCCATTCAGGCAGCACACCCCTCACACGTTTCGTGGCCAGGCAGAGACTTCCACCGAAGGCCCAATGGCTGCGTTCGCATGCGCCCGCCGCACCCATTCTGGCACAACTCTCATACGTGTCGTGGCACCATAAGGAGCCTCACCGAAGGCAGCAATGGCTGGGTTCGCATGCGCCCGCCGCACCCATGTCGGCACACCCCTCACACCTTTCAAGGCCCCACGGGCAGCTCCACCGAAGGCTGTCTTGGCTGCGTTCGCATGCCCCGCCGCACCTATTTCGGCATACCCCTCACACATTTCGTTGCCCCGTAGACGGTTCCACCGAAGGCCGCAGTGGCGACGTTAATGCGCCCGCCGCGCCCATTTCGGCACACCCCTCACACGTTTTGTGGTCCCATAGAAAAGTTCCACCGAAGGCCCCAGTGGCTGCGTTCGCATGTGCTCGCGGCACCCATTCTGGCACACCCATCACAAGTTTCGTGGCCCCCTGGGGAGCTCCACCGAAGACGATATTCACAACTGCGTTACTCACAACTGCACATGGTTGGGTCCTTCGCCAAACTGATGTAAAGACGCGGGCCCCCGACCTCTCGACCACTTCCCCGTGACTGGTTTTTCGTCGCGAGTCGTTTTCTGACGCTCCTGGGGCCCGGCCAGGGCCTCGAGAGGCCGAAAACGATGAAACACATCCGTCTCGATGTTTTCGAGACGCCAGGATGTCTCGGATTGGGGCCCTCTTGGAACCCGCTTACAACCTCGAGGACTGAAATGAGGGAAAAAGGAATACAGCCGGACCTAGAACAGAAAAGCATCATTCAAATAAGAACCCCTGAAACCTGGACACGCTAGACCGGGACATCCACCATACCTCGAATCTCATTTTTCCCACCAGCGTCACGAACAAAAAGCTGCACTGCACAAAAGGGCGGCGGCACGGACAAAATACTGCAGTGCAACACTCCCGGAATAAGTCTGGACATTGCCATGAATGCCACCTCCCCTAGACCTGGACAAAGACCCGAATACTGCAGTGCAGCAACAGAAAAATGCAATGGAGGACCAAGTGCTGCAACAAACAAATGCTCTGGACGACCAACATCCGAATGTGCAGGAAATGTGTCGTTTCCCCGAATCGCCGATGTCCTGGTTAGTCGTTGCCCTTGTCCCGGGAGGGCGATCCAGAACATGAAAACTCCTCCGGCCAGGCTGAAGAACATTTGAGGGTACCCTCCTCCAAGGTGCACACTAAGAGCCAACACACACACACGAAGAACATTAGGAAACCCTCCCCAAACCGACATCGACCTTCGCTACCTCGGTCCGACCGCAGAGGCGGAACGACGCCGAAAAGAGGAGGGGAGCCGTGCATTTGTCGATGGGGGCGGCCGACCTGCGACGCAGCGCGCCCATTCCCCGTCAAAATGCCACATGACACGTCGCCGCGGGGAACCCGCATCCCGGGGCCCGGCAAGGGGCCCGCGGGGGCCGCCAGTGGCCGCACACCTTCCGTCGCGATATGTGCCACGACTCGAGGGGGGAGGAAAGGCGGCGTGTCAGTGAGACTCTTTCTCAGGGCCGGACCTAAACGTTGTGTGCTCGTTGTGTGTTCGCTTTGCCTCTCGTTTTGCTCCGCCTGGGTTTCCTGTACTTCCCTTCCCGAGGTCCAGCAGCACAGCGTTTAGGCCCAGCCCTGCCCTTCCTCCGTCCCGCAGGGTTGGCGTGCCTGCAATCCTCCCTCGGTCCTCTGGAGCGCGCGCGGCTTCGCGAGGGGCCACGGAAGGGGCCAGATCCAGGCGCGCAAGCCAATGCTGAGGGGACTGAGGGGCAACGATATGGGGGACTAGCATAGGGGGGGATACATCGACCTGGAATCGGCGACACATCGCCGATAGATCGGCGATCGGCCTCCGATCGTGAATCCGCACCCTCCTGGGAGGGATGGGGCTATTGGGCCCCTATCGAGGATCAATGGGCGATTGGGGGTCGATGCGTCCCCCCCTATGCCCAACTCCCCCTATCGTTGCCCCTGAGGGGGCCGCGGAGGGGCCAGATCCAGGCGCGCAGAGGCCAGTGCTCGGGGGACCCGCGTGGGCCCGCACCCCAAAAGGTCACTCCAGCGGAGGGTCCCTCCGAGGAAGCGCTGCTGCAGCGCCGTCGTCGTCGTCGTCGTCATATTCTGCTTGTTTTCCGTCCTTTCCGTCCTCGTCTGCGTTCCCTCTTCCTCCCCCCACCTCCTGTTGATTGCCTTGAGACGGGATGGTTGGGATTTTTCGTCGCGGCCACAGACGAAGGCGCCCGCAGCAGGTCGAGTCAGCTCGGGCTACGAGCGAACCAAATTGCCGGCGCGCGCGCAGAGGAAGGCATACCTACCGCATGGGGAAGCCGCTGCGCCGGGGCCGAGCTGCAACTGCGCCGGGGGCCGTGCTGCAACCGCTGCGGCTGAGAAACAGCGGCGAGGGTGGGGACTGAAGCTGCTGGGGCTGCCAGGAAGATGCAAGCGTGCGGGTACCAAGGGATGGCGGGGATACTTTTGATAGCCAGCAGCAGGCGAGCGCGCCGACGGCGTGTAAGGTCCGATCGGGCCGCGCAAGGCCCTAAATACCTAGCAAAAGCAGGGCAGGCCTACCGCCGAAGCCTCAGCGCTGGGCCAGCAAGAGGAGCCGGGGGGGGGAAGGCCGCGGGCTGCAGACTGCCAGGGAGCTGCAAATGTGCGACAACCTGCGAGCCGGGCTACCAGGTGTGAATTGAACTGCAGAGAATCGACCAACCGCTGCGAACTGCAGGGGCTTACCTAAAGCCGGCGGGGCCTCAGGCACCACCACGGCGGACAGGGCCGGCGGGTGGGGGCGTGCAGGCTGCGGCTGCCAGGGAGCTGGACCAGGGCAACGTGCAAATTGACCAACCGAGGTTGGGATGGCGGGGATGCGCGAAGCGCCAATCATCGCAACGCCTGGATGTCTGGGTGATCTCCGCGAAGATCTAACCACCCCCCGGGCAGGAAGCGCTGCAGGGGCGCGCGTGGGCCTTCTGGGCACGCCGCGGGCACCGCCGCAGGCGCCGCCGGGGGGCCGCCCGCGGCAGCGGCCGCCCCTGGTGGGCATGGGCGGAGGTAGGGCAGCGAGCTGGGCCACGTTGCAGGACTGCTACACCGAGGCAGGTCCGAGTAGATGGGGTCGAGGAATCGCGCCGAATCGCCAATGCATCGGCGATGCATCGACGACGTCGGCGGAGAGCATCGGGCTCCACATCGAGCGGCATCGGCCAT